ACGTCAATGTGCTTCGTTCTGACATGATAAACTGGATTCTGAAAAGATGTATAGCGCTCTGGCTATCACAATAAAGAACTCCTCTCTATTGGTTCAGATCCAACTCTTCCAAGCACCCCTTCAATCAGATAATCTCTTTGCTTGCTTCGGTCACCGCGACATACTCAGCCTCGGTTGTAGATAAAGTTATAATCTTCTGCAGATGTGAGATCCAGCTCACTGCTGTCGACGCTAAGGTATAAACATACTCCATGGTGCTTCGTCTCGTATCATGATCACCGACGAAGTTCGCATCCATGTATCCCTGCAGCACCAGCTCCTTCCTCCTAAAACATAGTGGCTTGTTCGATGTCCCACTCAAGTACCGTAATATTCACTTCATGGTCTCCTAATGCTACTTCCGTGGATTGCTTGCAAACCTAATCACAATTCCCACTGCCTGGGTAATGTCCGGCCTCGTGCAAACCATCGCGTACATGAGACTCTTAATGGCTGAAGAATATGACACCCTGCTCATATGCTCTCTCTCTATTTGTTTTAGGAGATTGCTCCTCAGATAACTTGAATTGGCTTCCAAGGGGTGTGCTAATAACCTTAGCATTCTGCATATTGAATCTCTGAAGTACATTCTCGATATATTCAGTTTGGCTCAACCTCAACGTCTCTTCAGCTTCATCCCTACTGATTCACATCCCTAGAATCTGCTTTGTTGCACTCAGATCCTTCATTACAAACTCCTTTGCCAGCTGCTTCTTCAAACTGTTTATCTCCTCTAAACACGGTCCTGCTACTAACATACCATCAACATATAATAACAATATAATAAAACTAGACTCGAACCTATTGAAATAGCAGCAATGATCCGAATTGTATCTTCTGTAGCCATTGTTTTGCATGAAGTTATTAAACTTCTTGTATTACTGTCTCGGAGGCTGTTTCAAAACATATAAGCTCCTCTTAAGCTCGCACACCATCTCTTTCTTTTCTTCTTCAATGAAGCCAACATGTTGCTTCATGTAAATTTTTTTATCCAAGTCATCATGAAGAAAGGCAGTCTTCACATTAACTGCTCAAGAAAGAGGCCTTCTGCAGCCACCAAGCTCAACACCATCGTGATGGTTGTGAGCTTTACAACAGGGGAAATATCTCTGTATAGTCCACTCCTTCCCGCTGTTGGAACCCCTTTAGAACTAATATGGTCTTAAACCTCTTGCTTCCATCACTCTTTTGCTTGATCCGGTAGACCCATTTGTTATGCAAGACCTTTTTCTGTGCATGTAGCTGGGCTAATTCCCATGTCTCATTAGTGAGTAGAGAATCCACCTCCTCCTGCATCACATGCTCCCACTGTTAAGATTCACTCACTTGCATAGCCTCCTCATGGCACTCCGGTTCATCGCTATCTGTTAATAATAAGTAATCAAGAGATGAAAGATATCTAAGATTCGGTTTGGGTACTCTGGATGACCTCCTAAGCTCCACACCCTGGGTAGTTGCTTCTGTACCTGGAGTCTCCTCTATTCTTCGGTCAGAACAAACGTCATTATCCCTATCTGAAAGTTCCTCTAAATCCATATATCTGGATCCACCTGCATCCGAAGTGCTGCTCTCACTATTTTGGCTATCGTTGGTATTTTTCCTGTCCTTATACATCACCTCCTCATTGAATATGACGTCTCGACTCCTGATGATCTTCCTGTTCTTCTCATCCTAAAGACGATACCCGAACTCATCAATATCGTATCCAATGAATGTGTACTTCTGTGACTTAGCCTCTAGCTTGTCCCTGATATTGTCACTAATATGAACATAAGCTACGTAACCAAATACCCACAAGTGTGAGAGATTTATCTTTTTTCCACTCCAAACCTCCTCTGGAATTCTAAAATCCAATGGAACTGATGACCCATGATTAATAAGGTAAGCCGTCGTATGCACCGCATTCGTCCAAAAATATCTTAAGCAGACCTGCATGTAATCGCATGCTCTGGCACGCTCTGTCAAGATTTTGTTCATCCTCTCCGCAATGCCATTCTGCTACGGCGTCCCTGGAGTAGTCCTCTCTAAGTGAATATCATTCGTAGTACAGAACCTCTTGAACTCCTCTAGCTCGTATTCTCCACCATTTTCTGATCTCAGACACTTCACCTTCAGATCTGTCTCGTTCTTCACAATGGCCTTCCACTTCTTGAAGACTTTGAACACCTCTGGCTTGTGCTTCATGAAGTAAATCCACACCATCCTCGAGTGATCGTCGATAAAGATGACATAGTATATCGAACCGCCAAAATAAGACACACTGGTTGGACCCCATATATCTGTATGAATCAACTCTACCTTCTGAGTCTTAGGTGATCTTTCACCCTTCTAAAAACTAATCCTATTCTGCTTTCCAAAGATGTAGTCTTCACAAACCCCGACTTTTACGGAGTCGATCCCGGTTAGCTTTTCCTGTGAATGTAAGATCGTCATCCCCTTCTCGCTCATGTGCCTTAGCCTGTTATGCCACAGATTTGTACTCTCTTTACCAGCTGTAATTGTGAGGGTGTCACTCACATGTGTGGTGAGGTAGAGAATCCCTAATTTGTTGCCTCGGGCAACTATCATCCTACCGTTGAAGATTCTTCATGAATTCCTTGTGAATATCGAAACATAGCCTTTTGCTCCAAGCTGTCCCACCAAAACAAGATTTTACTTCAGTTTTGGTAAATGTCTCACGTTCTTCAAGTTTCACTTAGAGCCCTTCATCTGAATCTGCACATCACCATTTTCAACAATATTACAGGGCTCATTGTCCCCCAAATATACTTTTCCAAAGTTCCCTACTATATAATTCTGAAGAAACTTCTTATTAGCAGTGACGTGAAAAAAGGCTCCTGTGTCGATGACCCAAGAATCCTAATCGCTATCTATAGTAAGGATCAAAACGTCCTGCACGATATGAGCCTCCTGCTCACCTGTATCTTTCTTTGGACTTTTGCAAACTGAAAACATATGACCCTCCTGATCGCAGTTCCAACATTTTTCTTTGATAGGCCTAACCTTCGAGTTTGACCTCTTCTTCACTAATTTCGACCGATTTCTGTTCTGGTTCTCTTTCTTCTGGCTTCTGTCTCTCTGTTCGAAGTTTAGAACTGAATCCGAACCTTCTGATTCAGACGCTTTTCTTCTAACCTTATCGGATAGAATCATACTGACCACCTCACTCAACTTTAACTTTTTCTTCCCCGCCGAATGTTGATTGCCGTCACACAACCTACTCAACTATCCGGCAACTACGATAGTAATAAAAGGATCTGCACTTCGTCATCGAACATGATGTCTACGGAGATAAACTGATCAACAATCATGTTAAACTAGCTGAGGTGCATCATGAAGGACCGTCCTTTTTCCACCTTGAGGTTGAAAAGAGTTTTTACCAGATGCACATTGTTTGTTGCAGACGGTTGCTCGTATATCTTCTCGAGCGCTTCCATAAGCCCTATTATCGTCTTCTCCTTCAAGATATTGTAGGCTACTATCTTGGCGAGCGATAACCGGATTTGTCCTAGAGCCTTCCTATCTAGTATCTCCCGGTCATTGTTTGACTCCTCTTTCTTCTGTCCCTTATCCTTACCCATCAACGGGCAATATAAATCTTTTTGGTATAGATAGTCCTCCATCTGCGTCTTTTAGTAGGCGAAGTTTGAACCGTCAAACTTCTCGATCTTAGATTTGATTTCCTCTGCCATGACTTTCTCACAAATTGCTGAACGAAGCTCTGATAATAGTTGTTGGGGAATTCAAAACAATCAAATCGAGCCATTGCCCTTCCGGACCTTGTTAGAAAGTTGAGAAAGAAAGAAATTCACCATAAATCAAAGATAAAAACTTGCAGAAATAAAAACAAGTGAGAACACACAAATTTAACGAGGTTCGGTAACGTGCTTACGTCCTCGGGAGCCACACCACACAATCCCTTTGATTAATTAAAGAAGGAATACAAACACTCAAACAAGGGATAATCTCTCTGAGGTTCTCTCTTTCTTTTCTCTCTTTCTGATGATTTTTCACGTTCTTCTTAGCCCTAGAAAACATATAAATATATGTATGAATCCCAACCCAAACAGAATTCACAACAGATTAGGAAACTGCCAGCTCGACTCATGGTCGACCGTCGAACCAGTCACGGTTGACCGGATAAATGATAAAACCCAAAACGCCTACAGGGTAGCTTCGGTCGACTGCAGAACCCATCGCACACCGCGGTCGACCACACTGCAGTTTTCCTGTTTCATTCGTTTTGTTTCATCTTCTTGATTTCAGCTTCAGCTTCAGCTTTGGGTCTACACTTAGACTAACATTTTCTCCCTCTTATATATGTATGGGGATGTAATGGAGCCGAACCTGGATGGACAATAATTAGCTTATCCTACTACATGAGCGAAGAAGAGTTTGCGCTAATCCTCAGTTCCATTGAGTTCATTGCATCACCATTTCCTTTCTCTTTATCAATATAATGTGCTAACCGGTGAGTGAACCTTTAAGCACAATGCTTTCAAATATTGTCTAATGAGAGAGATAGACTCCAGGATATTTTTTTGTGATTATTTTTACCCTTAGATGAACTCACTACTTACACCCAGGGGCAACATCTGTCAAAATTTACCAAGGGTAAAACAGCCAAAAAATTGTATCGAAGGGGTCTATCTGCAACAATAATGATATGGTAGTGAGTGCAAAACAACGGCATTACAAGATGTTTACCCACAACTAACCCAAAATTAAGATATATGCAACTTTCCACTTTTCTCAACAAAAAAGTCTGATACAATATTGTTCGTGCAGAAAAAAAAACTTTTATTTTAATAGATAAAACCCTAATCAATCCCAAGATTATTCATGCCAAACTATTGAGATAATTAAGAAGATGCGGAACCGTACCTGAATGTATGGGGTATGATGTGATTCTTGAGTTTTGAGATGTAGATCTTCCAAATCTTATACGTATATATCCTCCTTAGAGAAGCCCTAATCCTTCTGAAGATGAGAAATCAGAAAGAGATTCTACGTAGAGATTTGGGGTGTCACAATCTTATTTATTCATAATTATCAATTCAACCCATCATAGGAGGCCCATACATCTAATTATGCATTAAAAGCTCAAACCCTAAATTAGACCATTTTATTGGGCTAACCTTGATTGATAGCACATAATGCATATTTATTTAATATATTGGCCCATATATTGGATTTAAATCCAACAAATATAACACACACTCGTACACTCACAAATACAGATAATCTACTTTAAAAAACACAATCCATCCCTAAATGAGGCCGAGCTTCTCATGGTGTTGAAGCTGAAGAGAGCTCCACACTAACATTTGTACCCTGTGCCTTCCCCTTACTCATTAGCCCTTTCAACATTGGCTTAACCTTCTCGGAAATCTTCACAATCATCAAAAACAACAACCTATAAACAACCACCATACCAAATAATATACCAAGATCTACCCATTTTGAATACCCCATCTCCACCTGCCAATAATCCCTCAGTATCACCTCACCACTAATAGTAGCACTGCCCCCAACTTGGTTATTAGGAAAAGTTAGACCAATGAACTCATTCTTGTAAAACCCTTGATTTGCATATTTATGGAATGCAATGTAGTACATTGGATATCTCCATACTGGCTTTGGGAGGTCATTTGGCAACCGAAAGAATCCTCCGTTGAGCATCATGACTCCTTGGATGCCTGCGCCTGTTATTATGCCCATGAGGAAATCAGGGACTATGCTTGCGACAATCATCATTAGGCTCTCTACGAGCATCATGCACATGAATAATACGAGGATGAAGTAGAGGAAGTGATCAAATTGTCTTTGGAGGCCAACTAGATAGTAAGCTATGGCTCCGGGGATTATGGATATCAGGGCTAAGTATGGAGTGGAGGAGACAATACTGCTTATCGCGAAAGTTGTGACTCCATAGTGCCCGTTTAGTCTTTCTCTACCAAAGATCTACATTTGATGATAAAAGAAGATATTTAGATATAGATTGCATTTGACGATGAAAGAAGATATTTAGATATAAATTGCATAACAGTCAAAGAGGTTAAGCGCAAATAAACCCCTGGTAGCTTCTTGGTTTGGAACTCAGTACTCTTGTAATTTCATTGTCACAGATTAACTACTGGGTTAAGTTTTTTGGGATTTTTTTAACTCTCAGATAGACTCACTAATTTCACCCACTGTCAATATCTGCTAAAATTAAACCCAGGAGATCTATCTGCAGCAATGAAACTATAGAATTAATAAGTGCAAGACAACAGTACTAGAGTGGGTCTATGCTCAATTTAACCCTATTTAAAGCTTAACAGATCCTATCATTCTAAAATAATTGGTAACCAAAAATTTGCGAATAATCAGACGATTTGTTTTCAGAAGATTTGTTCATTTGACTAGGAAATATACTCGGTGACTATGGTTGAGGAATTTGCATTATCGGTCAAGGCCTCTCATCATAAGAAGTCTAGGGAATAGAAACCACCTTTTCACTTATATTGAATAAATGCAACGAGAAAAGAACTAACCTTCATGTCTTCCACAAAAGAAGGAAACCCGCCAATCGCCATGAAAGTGAGAAATGCAGCCACAAACATCAGCATAGAGCCTCTAGCCTGAAAATATTTGGTACAATTTTAATCGGATGACAATAATCTACAGAGTTATTCAATTTAAGATTTATTATACAAACCTGAATTGATCCATAGCTATGACCAATGTCATGGTAAATTGTTCCAACACAAAGACAGAGTGCTATGTAAATTGCTAAGCGCAGCCAATAGTAACCAAGGTCTCTATGCATATTAACAAATGATCTTCTTGTGAGGACAATGGATTGGGTTAAGGGGCTAGCTTGATTTCCTTTTTTCACAAGACCTCCTCCCTACAAAAAATAACGATACGGAAATATATTTTTAAATTCTAGAAGAAGTAATTCTGATGGTTATAGCCTATAATGTAACTAAAATCTACGAATTACCATTTGCTGTATCTCCGCTATTTGCTGCCTCACAACCTGTGAATTAACTGAAGCTCTATAAGACTTCACAAGGGTTTCAATTGCTTCAGCAGTAGTTATCGTTTTAGCATCAGGGCCTTCTTCCATATCCTTGAGAAAATAATAAAATGGACATGAGATTCAGACAAGTCCAATAATTTTATCAAAATTGAAAGAAAAAAATGTTACGAACCTTGTCAAAATCCTTGTTAATTGTCTTGAGGTAATGATCAGAAGGGTTCGTCAGGGATGGACATGGGAAACCATTCGATGCGAAGAACTGAAAAAAGAGGAATGAAATTTGATGCATTTTGTTCTAGTAACTCAGAAAATTGTGCATATGTGCAAAGATATCAGATAAGACATGTAAGAGAGAAACTGCTCGATTATTCTTTTCATGGATATTTTTGGATTAAAGTCCTTCAGAGTGCCTAAGCGAGCCAGATACATTATATAAATGATCTCAGATGTTATTTTTGCACCTTCATCCCCATTTTCCATATTTTCTACAGATATATGTGCACACAGATAAGGTTACCTCTTGTATGTTTTGCACCTTCACTTATATCATGGAAGAATTGTTAATCACAGAGAATATTATCATGATATCATCCATGTTGCATATGATTCTAATTTCTAAAGCCTTTTATGTCTTACATATTGACTAACTATTTTAGCCCATTGTATTAATTCAATGTCCCAGGCTCCCAGCTGCAAGTATTTTTGGATGTGCAGGTAGTTCAAATATAGTGTCTGTTCAGAATGTAACTTTTACTGGATATAAAACCATCACTTGAATGCTGAAAATGACAGGGATTAGAGTCATTAATACGTATCACATGGTCTACCTAATAACTACTTCAATAAATTCAATTTAATCCATGTCATATTATCATGTATACAAGTAGGTCACAATATCTTCGTCACTTTTAACACAAAGAAATTTGTTTCTGTAGGGATTCAGTAAGATTTTGAAGTAGGTATTCAGTATAATTTTGAAGAAAAACCACTTCCAAGTTGTACATTTAAATGTCTATGTCATCACATATTTTGTCATTTAAGCTTGGAATCATTCATCAGTATTGCCTTTCTATCAGTAGCTCCTATGGGCTGAAAGGATAAAGAAGAGGAGAAATAAAAATAAAATAAAATAATAAAACGAAAAAATAAAAAAATATAGAAAAAAAGCTAAATTAAAGTAGGCCACATGACTGGAATCTAGAGGACCTGGATAAGTTACCTATTGTGTGTTAACCAATAGAGCAGGTAGGATAGCAACATTCAAACTTCTTTGCTTAAAAGAAAGAGAGCTTAAACTAAGTCAAACTAGTTTTTCTTAAGAACTTCAATCTGGTATCAGAAGCCAGGGGAAAATTGGCCACACAAATCTGCAGTGACCTCCCAAGATTGGCTTATAATTACTAGATTTAGTGAAGAACTATGTAAAATTAATATTAGATGGATCCATTATCTACAAAGTAGTTCATTCACATTACAACGTAAACCTTTTGCATGTAATCTTGACAGTCTATTAGGGACTTCAGGTTAGTAGCTAAACAGCATGCATATGGTTTCGTGCCAAGGACAAACCACCTTTAATAAAATAAATATTTAGCCTTGATCTTATATAACTAGTATCTTTGAATTGTTACAAGGATCTGAAGAAAGTTTCTCCAATTACCAACTAGACATAAAAAATTAAGAAAAAGCAAGTACTAGCAATTGCCAAAATTGTGCTAACTAACACAAGGAAAAAAGGAATACTATACCTACCTTTGTTTATACATATTCAACTACCCTATATCTATATATGGCACAAGATTTTGAAAAGTTAGTGTTCTCAATATAGCTATGGAACTATAAGTAACCCATAATTCAACCAGATAGATTATGTTGCAGGTTAATTTTCTTCTGTTTTGTTTTATTTAGTACCAAATGTCTTGTTCAGAGGGACTTGGTACTGATGATTGTTTCATTACCTTCAATTCTCTCGACTTCTCAGTGACATAAAATATCAAATTTACTATCTTCGAGTAAGAATAGAACATATCATATTTTTTATGTTGTTTCTTGTAGTGATAAGACAGGTAATGTCAATCTTAGTCATAAACATCTCATTATGTGTCACCGACTTGTGACGTTACAGTCAAATAAGTAGAGCAAATCTTCTCAAGTTTCATACAAAACTTGAAAAGATTACTAAAGGGCCATAATCTCCACTTTGAAATCTCAGTCTTTCCTGACTAAATCAAAACGAAGGAAACCTCTCCAACAACTCAAATAATTCGAGTTCATTGTGTCTACAAAGTAATTCTAAAGTAATTTACAAACGAAAATGCAATGAACCTTATATCCTGCATGGCTGATCTAAAGTTGACGTTTTTTTTAAATAAAAAAACATCAACTTTAGATTTTAAAAAGGTGCCACATATTAATGTAGTTTCCCTCCAAAATGAACCTGGTAATTGCAGTTTTCTTAAGGGGAAAAAAAAACTTTTTACTGGGCAAACAATTCCAAGTGCATAAAAGCATGTAATTACATTTATCTAAGTGTACATATCATTGAAGGCGCATATCGATGTCTACTAGGTCAACTGTAACTAACCGAAACAAAACAAACACGTAGATTCTATTTAGTAATTAATGTCTTATCCAGAGAGACTTTGTATCGGGGATTGTTATCATCAAGTTTCATTTTAGTTCTCTGATGTTTCATTGTCTATTAAATTCATGCCTTTAATTACTTGCTTTACTTAAATAAATAAATAAATTACTTATGGTACAAGTTTCACGCTCAGACTACCAATTTCTTAGTCCTTTATGTCTTTTCTTGTTAATTTACAAACGTCTCTTTCTGGTTATATCAGAGGAATTGAATGTGAGTTGTGAGCTTGCACTCACATGCAAATAACTTATAATCAAATCTTACAGAATTAATTTCTCATACGAGACTTAAATAGGCCAACAAAATCTCCACTTCGAAATCTTTGTCTTACCTGACTAAATCAAAACAAAGAAAATGTCTCCAGCAACTCAAAGATTTAGATACGGCACATAAAAATTTGAGTTCCTTGTATCTACCAATAAAATGCAAAATATTTTACAAACCAAAATGCAAAGCACCTATATGCTGTCAAGACTATTAGAGGGCAACAACTTGCATCAGAATTTGATGCCACCACTGATAACAGTGATGGGGTCGGAAAAGCAACTGACATTGAGGGGGAGTGATATTTTTTTAGCTTATCGTCCTGTATCCTTGGGTTTTTTTCGTTCAATCGGAGTCTGTTTTGACTTTTACTTGATTATATTTGCAATTAACCCTTCTTTTAATTGTTATTTTGTTCAGTCTTGGATTCTTATTCATGGCCTCCAACATTATTGTTTTCACTTCTATAACCTTGTGAGGCTTAGAGACATTCAGATTTTGGAGCTGGAGATGTTTCATTAAACCGTTAGTCCGTTACTAATGAAACGTGAAGAGTTTATATTCAAGAATACTAATGAAGATACTGATGACACTAAACATCCATAATTCCAGTTAAAAAAATGTGCCACGTGGAAGTATCCCCTTGATGCACAAAAAGCATATATGCAATTTCCCCCAAAACAGAACTTATAATTGCACTAACCTCACTTGTGGAAGAAGTTGGTCCAAAATAGACAGTCTTCCCATAAGCAAGAAGGCATAGTCCGCTGAACAAATCAAAAACCTCACCGCTCGGCTGATGGATGGAGGCAACCACCGTCATCCCCTCTCGGCGTGCCAGCTTTGCGATCCGACTTACAACGTGGTACGATGCAGCACTGTCTAAACCGCTCGTTGGTTCGTCAAGAAATAATAGCTTTGGCCGAGTCAAGATCTCAGCACATATGCTCACCTGTTTGATGACGAGAGCGAAATAAGTTACCTTTCCAGATCAAAATGCTCTTAGAATACTATGAAGCCTCGATGAAATACAGATCAGATAAGCTAATTATCATTATACTTATTTATTGATCACGAATATGAACTCAAATAGGAATATGATTCGACAAGTAAAACTTATATCCGTATTCATCAAGATTGGAGACATACACAAATCAGATGAGAGAGAATACTTTTTTTTTTAAATTTAATATGTGATAAAAACTATACATATATTCAAATTAGAGTTCAAAAGCATGTTTGACACACATAGAAACTCAAGGTAGATTGACCTCTTGATCATCAAAATCATCAGCAGTTATATAATCGATATACATATATTCAAGTACATGCATTCTTGTATCCTATCAAAAGAATTACACTCATATTCATGTTCATGGACGATCAGATATCCTTCTGTGTTTCCTAAGATGCAAATAAATTAACAGATATATACGAGATATCTACATCCATTTGCATATCTGCATGTAGGAAACTTACCCGCCTCTTTTGCCCGCCACTGATGCCTGATATTCTTGTGTTCTTGGCTGAAACAAGCCCCATTTCTCGAATTGTATCCTCTGCTCTGGCGATTTTCTCTGATTTCGACAGGGTTGACGGGAGTTGAAGCTCAGCCGAGTAGTAGACCGCTTCTTGGACAGTGAGTGTCGTCATAAGCACGTCATCTTGTGTAACATAAGCGGAGGTTCCAAAAGAAAGTGACTGTTTCTGGCCGTTGATCAGAATGTCTCCCGTTTGTCTTAGATTTGATCCTAATCTTCCTGCATTCCATCATCATAACGTTATTATTTTTTAATGAACATTATTGAACTTTAATATGTATATACATTACTAGTGACTTAGTCATAAGAAATTAGCATCTTATTAAGGTTAAAGTAGGCTCAACTACCATCCAATCGTAGAAAAATATGCTACCTATATCTCTTGTTTCATCTTATTGATTTATTTCTTCATGGGTATCTCCCAAGTTTGACAATTAAGGTACCACGTAGCAAATTTGTGTAAGAAATCTTTATCGTGGCATTTGACTGTAACTAATTTTAAAATATAAATATTCATAAAATAAATAAATAAAACATTAAATTATGATAAGAACATGTCTGAACGCTGAAAACTGTGAACGGTTTAGTACGATCTCAAAGGAAGTTCCTTGCACAACTCAACAGAACTTTATTAAATCAAGCATGTTGTAGAAATTAAATTTCAAGAATATTGATTCTTCTACTTTTTTTAATTTTGTTAGTTCCTAACTGTAACAATCAACGTGTGAGTCTCCATATTTTATAAATGTCAACTGTAGTTGCAAACCCTCTAAGTCTGCATTTTGTCCCAAAAATAAAAAAAATAAAAAAATGGAATCCTGATTTCTTCAAACCCAAAACACATCAAATTAAAAAAATTTCCAAAAAAAAAAAAAAAAACAAACACCTTTCACACAACAAAAATACCTAATACTCAAGCTTTTGTGCGCTTAAAAAATTCTTGCTAGAAAACAATGAACAATTTTTTTAAGAGATGAAGTGTAAAGATTGCCTATAATTTAGTAAGATAGGGAGAATATTGACTACTCAATCTAAGAAGTACATTTAACACATATTATGCTTTCAAACTTAAATGTATTTTTTTTACAGGAAGCACTTGCATTCAGAAAAAGAAAAAAGGGCTTCACATCCTCTCTATTATTAAAAATGATTGAGAGATTATTATTTTTAATCACAATGTCTACTATTTGAAAGCAAATGGGTGCTGGTTTGTTCCTTCCACGGTCTTGACACGACACACGCATCCACGCCTTTACAATCTAGATTCTAGATCATCAATATACTCACATCATAGTTGATTGTTTGAATGTGTCGCATCGGCCACGCACCAGTCATCACTGTACAGAGACACACAGTCTCCCATGAGTTGTAAATCATTACAAACTTTAGCACTCCTTATATGCTCTCTCTATATAACACTGATTTCCACTCAAAACGAATTAGAACTGTCTCTAACAACAGTTTTTCCTTTTTTTTTTCTTTTTCCCCCTTCTTTTTCTCGAAGAACCAAACGATAGATAGTTGTCTGACTAGAACTAGTGAATCCAAATCCAAATCCAAAAAAAGGTGGGGGGAAAAAATTTACCTGCCAATGCGTCGAGAAGAGTAGACTTCCCACACCCAGATGGACCCATAATAGCCAAAACCTCACCGGGCCTAGCGAAGCCATTGAGCCCACAAAGGATCGGAACTCTCCCATCCTCACTACCATCGGAAGCCCAAGCCCAAAGGTCCTCCCACGTCATCGAAACCCCTGCGCGACCCCCTCCGTTAACGTGCTCCACTCTCCCCATCTCGAGCTCCACAGGATCCTCGCCGTCCACGTGTCCCCCTCTGCCCCGGTGGTGGAGCATCGGGGGAGGAGACGGGCTGTTGCTGAACGGAAAGGGGCTCTGGTCTCCTGCAGCCCAATCACGCAGCGGCCTGCTCGGGCTCGGGCTCGGGCTCCATCTGGGGACTGCTGGAGTTGTGGACATTGGAGTTACCTTCGGTTGGTTTAAGAGAGCAAGAAGACGTACGGGAGATCGAGAAGTGGGATTTTTGCCAACGGAATTTATGAAGGATGTAATTTAAAATGGGGATGGTGGTCGGCCTTAAATAGAAGAGCTAATGCCGCCAGTCGTTGTCTCGGTTACTCTCTAAATAACAGAAAACCCCCCTAACTTTGTACAAATACCAAATAACCTCTCTCATGACTTTCAAAATATAATGAACTCACCTCTTAAGTTTAGGGTTATCTTAAGTTTGCACGTTATCAGAAAACCGTCCTAACAAGCTAAATACTAGAAAACCATAATTTCCGCACGGGTGAGTAAAATCAAGCATTTTGTTAGTGAAGATTGCAGATAACGTTGCCAGAGGGATTTTCTGACGAAATCTCAAACTTAAGAGGATCGAGTTTTCTGATATCCTTTAATTTGCGGAGTGTTTTCTGATATTTTAAGAATTATGCAAGGCCATGTAATAAATGTCCAAAGTTGAGGGAGGAATTATGATATTCAGTTAATTTGCAGGATAAAAAAAGACCGCGGATTATCCTTCTGAACTAGAGAAGATCAACAATTCTTCTCTCCTGCCTGTTCGCAATTCTCTTCTTCCTCTCCCAAGTTATATATTCGTAATATCTAACAATAGGAAAAAAATTTAGGATCAAAAGTTGTGACAATGTTTTAGTACAAAAGCAGTTATAACTATGTTTGAGTACAATCGCTAACTATAAACTCATCCAAATTAAAAAGTTTGTTTTAAATAATCTTTCTTTTGTAGAAAATGGGTTTGGTTTTCATGGATTACAGATCCGTTAAGGTATATAAGTTTGGAAATTGTTACTCCAATTTGAAATAACACACATTCGGATTTTAGTTGTTTATTCATATAATAAAGGCTGAATGGATCAGGATAGTCTCAGTATATTCTTCATTAGACAGCTTGGATGTAGTGGGCCTAAGTTTCTATTTCATGGGCGCCTGGATCGAAAAAAAAAACAAATATAAGAAAATGCAATTATAACTTAAAAATGGGTACGTGTTAGTTCAGCCTCCTGACCTGTCTCCTCTCCTAAGACGTTTTAGTAGAGTTGCTTGTCTCCTTAATGAAGATCGGATCATGGAACGTCAGGTGCATTAATGACCCCATTAAGAGAATGTTAGTTAGAGATAGTATCTCTCTATCTTCTGTTGATCTCATAGGGATTCAAGAATCCAAACTTAGTTCCTATAGACCCCTTGTCCTCAAGAATATTGGTAGCCAAAAAATCTCTACCTGGCTCCAATTGGATGCTATTGATTCCAGATGATGTGTCCTTTTAGGGTGGAATGATTCACTTTTTGACTGTATTTACTTATATATTAGTATCTTCTCCGTCTCAATTGTCCTCATCCATAGAGTTCTCAATTGGAAATTCCTAGCTTCTTCTGCTGAGAAGTCGGATAGGGAGGTCTGTTGGTGGGAGCTCCATAGAATTAAGAGCATGTTCCCCTACCCTTGGACCCTTTTTGGAGACTTTAATGACACTATTTCTGTTCATGAGCGTAGTGGTAGGTCTGCCTCTCCCTCTGATATTGCCAATTTTCAGCTTCTCATTGACTCTCTGAACCTTATTGACCTCCCCCTCAATGGCAAGCTCTTCACTTGGTCTAATATGAGATCTCCCCCCATCTTAGCAAGGTTAGACAGGTTCCTCGTTTCTTTAGATTTTGAATCTAGTTTCCCCTCCTTAGTTCAATTCTGCCACCCAACTTCATGCTCAAATCATGAGTTTCTCATCCTTGATACCTCCAGTACCCCTCCTAAGCCTCCATTCCGAATGGAGAAATCATGGCTCTCCCATTATTCTTTCTCAGCCTTTGTTATCTCTTGCTGGAATAGCCTCTCTTGCAGAGGAAACCCAATTCAATCTATTCACCTCAAACTCAAAATCCTTAAGCATAGAATTAAATGGTGGAAGAAAAATATCTATGGGTCGATTGTCAACAACAAATCCCAAACTCTCAATTCCATTCAATCCCTCAAAATCTTAGAAGAATCCAGACCTCTATCTCCCTAAGAAATTTCCCTTAGAATCTCTCTCAAAGATTCTCTTTCCTCTCTAGCCAAACAAGAAGAAATTTTCTGGAAGCAAAGATCCAGGCTTCAATGGCTCCAAGAAGGAGACTCCAACACTTCTTTTTTTCATAAAATAGCCTCTCATCATAGAAGAAAGAATTTCATCCCCCACATTACCTATTCCAACTCTGTTATCTTCTCTGAGAAAGACAAAGAAAATGCATTCTTTCATCACTTTTCCACCCACTTCAAAGCTAAATCTCCTCCCTCCTTCTAGCTTGATTGGGATCACTTGTTCCCTCATCCTACCAACAAACTTATCTCTTTAGACATCCCCTTCTTCGAGCCTGATATCAAGGCTGTAGTTTTTGTTCTCCACCCAGATAAATCTCCGGGGCCAGATGGATTCCCCATTCTCTTCTATCAATCTTTCTAGGATGCCCTCAAACTAGACATTATAGCTTTCTTCAACCAAGTTTTCAGTGACCCCTCTAACCTCCACATAATTAACTACTCCTTCATATCCCTCATACCCAAAACTCACTCCCCAGACCATCTATCTGCTTTCAGGCCCATCAATCTCCTCAATGGCTTGTTCAAAATTTTTACTAAAGTTCTAGCTAATAGATTAAGCCCCTTTTCGTCTTCCTTGATTCATCCTACTCAATCTGCCTTTCAACGGAATAAGTCCACTATTGATTCTATTATTCTGGGCCATGAAATGATTAACCTATGTTTTTCCAAGAGGATTGAGGCATGTATCTTAAAATTAGACTTTAGCAAAGCTTTCGACTATGTCAGTTGGGACTTCCTCCCCAGTCTTCTCAAAGCCAGAGGCTTCGTCGACAAATGGTGCTCTTGGATTAAATCAATCTTATATTCTTCTAAATCCTCTGTCATTGTTAATGACACACTAACCAATCCCTTCGTTTGTCATAGATGCCTCAAACAAGGAGACCCTCTCTCTCTCTCTCCTGCTTTTCCTTTTGGTTGTTGATGTTCTTTGTCGAATGATCCTTAACAGTTGTAATCATGGAGACCTTTCAGAGCTCCACCTCAAGAGTACGCTGAATGACATTAAATCATTATAGTTTACTGATGACACTATTATATTTTGCAAAGCCAACAAATCTGATATCATAAACCTTAAGTCCATTCTATACCTCTTCGAAAATGTTTCTGGTCTGGCCATCAATTTCTCCAAATCCATTTTGTTTTACAGTGGCAAATCTCCTATCAAGGGACCTCTTCTGGCCAAAATTCTTAACTGTTCATTTGCTTCTCCTCCATTCAAATATCTAGGCCTTCCTATGAAGAGGGGTTCATTAACTAGATTCGATTGGCAACCTTTGTTGGACTTCCTTAATAGAAAACTTTTCCTCTGAAAATGTAAACATCTCTCCATTGGAGGTCGCCTGGTTCTCCTTAAATCAGTCCTATCACTCATTCCTCTCTACTATATGTCATTCTTCAAAATTCCTTCTTGGCTTATCAAACACATTGACAAAATTAGACGCAACTTCCTTTGGGGTGGATCTTCTGACTCTCACAAAGGTTCTTGCCCAGTCAAATGGGAGACTGCTTGTTCTCCCAAAGCTTGTAGTGGACTGGGAGTCCTCAATCTTCAGCTTTTTAATATCTCCCTTCTCTCTAAATGACTTTGGAAATTCTTCGATAACAACAATCATGTCGGTAAGATCCTCCAGTCCTTGTACTCGTCTAATCTCCTCAAAGCTGCTTCTCCTAGTCTATGTTCCAGATTCTGGATGGCCGTTGTAGTGTGTTTTTTGAGTCTGCACTTGAATGGCCGTTGTATATGGTTTGTCAATTACTTTTGGGTCGTTGTATATACTTTTCGGTCGTTGTATATAGTTTGCCAATTGTGATGGTCTGGTTGGTATTTTACTTGCTCTGGTTGGTATTTTAGTTCTGTTGTCCGCATGAATTAGGTGCTCTGGTTGGTATTTTAGTTCTGTTGTCCGCATGAATTAGGTGCTCTGGTTGGTATTTTAATGTTTTGCCAATTGCTTTGGTTGATGACAAGTTGAGGAGCTAAACAGGATGTTTGCCAAGACTTGGATCATTGCATTATTTGTTTTGCATTAAATCATTGTAAGTGTAGTGGGTTATCCTGTAAGTGTAGCGAGTTACATTGTAAGTGTAGCGGGTTATCCTGCAAGTGTAGCGGGTTACACTGCAAGTGTAGCGGGTTATCCTGTAAGTGTAATGGGTTATACTGTAAGTGTAGCGGGTTATACTACAAGTGTAGCAGGTTATCCTCCAAGTGTAGTGGGTTATCTTATAAGTGTAGTGGATTATCCTGTAAGTGTAGCGGGTTATACTGTAAGTGTAACGGGTTATCCTGTAAGTATAGCAGGTTACACTATAAGTGTAGCAGATTACACTGTAAGTGTAGCAGGTTATCCTGTAAGTGTAGTGGGTTACACTGTAAGTGTAGCGGGTTACACTGTAAGTATAGCGGGTAATCTTGTAAGTGTAGCGGTACCACACTGAAGTATAGCGGGTTACACTGTAAGTGTAGCGGGTTATCCTGTAAGTGTAACGGGTTATCTTATAAGTTTAGCGGGTTATACTGTAAGTGTAGTGGGTTACACTGTAAGTGTAGCGAGTTATATTGTAAGTATAGCGGGTTATCCTGTAAGTGTAGCGGGTTATCCTCCAAGTGTAGCGGGTTACACTGTAAGTGTAGCGGGTTATCCTGTAAGTGTAGCAGGTTACACTGTAAGTGTAGCGGGTTATCCTGTAAGTGTAGCGGGTTATCTTGTAAGTGTAGCGGGTTACACTATAAGTGTAGCGGGTTGCACTGTAAGTGTAGCGGGTTACACTGTATGTGTAAGTGTAGCGGGTTACACTATAAGTGTAGCGGGTTGCACTGTAAGTGTAGCGGGTTACACTGTATGTATAACGGGTTATCCTCCAAGTGTAGTGGGTTACACTGTAAGTGTAGCGGGTTACACTGTAAGTGTAGCGGGTTACACT